GAGCCGGGAGCCCGATGTGGGACTCGATCCCAGGACTCCGGGATCATGACCTGAGCCGAAGGCAGTCGCTTAACCAACTGAGCCACCCAGGCGCCCTTCCCCCGTGTTTTCTACTGCACTGTTTTTGTGTTGTGGACATCCTTCCATATAAATTAGTTAGGTTGCATCATCTTAAGAGCCGTATGCTCGTCTGTCACACAGATAACCATCACTTTCCATAGCCAGGCACTTCTTGCACATTTCGTTGAAGATGGGTCTGTAGTGTGACAAGCATCAGGAAGATATTTGTCCCTGTCCCCGATTTCCTTAAGCCGGACGTCCGGAAGCTTGCTTGCTTACAGGCTTTGCCAGCAGTAATGACAAAACGGTTCTTGTAGGCAGCACTTTGCAGGTGCCTGTTACGTGCCCCTGTACCCACATTGATGCCGGCTGTAAATTCTATGCGGTAAATAAACTACCAGTACTCCCCTAACACAGAAAGGCAGGGAGGGCGTGTATTGGCGGAAGATGACATAGCTGGTAAGTAAGTGGGGGGTCTGAGATGTGACCCCCGAGCCCAACCTCTTCATCATCGTGCTCCCCTGCCTCCCCTCGGGTGGGCGTGCGGGATGAGACAGCAGGTGAAGGCAGGTGTGCTTCGCTTCGGCGTGCGAGGGGCGGGCCCAGGGGTCCCGAAGGCACCAGGTCGTGGTAAACATAAAAGGCTTCTGAAGGAGCCTCCAGAGGACCAGATATCCACAGATAGCCGCAATTGATTTTTTTCCTCTATCTGTAACTTTTAGACCAGTCCCAGCTAGCTTCCATTTTTTTAATTGCGGAAGTAAACACTCATTTGTGGAAGCGAGTAGAGTGAGTTGTAAAGGTTGCTCTTACGTCCCTAACCCCTTATTCCGAAGGTCCGAGGTCGCTGCTAGTGCACTGAGTATGTGTCTTTCCGGGCCTCGTGGGGGCACGTTTCAGACATGTTTGTGTGTGGCCTGTATTTGTCCACATGTTAATGCTTGCTTTTTTTTTTTTAAACAAACTCATGAATTGTGTGGCTCACGTAACTTGTGATTTTCGTTAAGCCGCTTACTGTGGCTGTCTTGGCCCTCTGCCTCCTTTATTTTCTGCCTCGTGTCCCCATCAGTCATTTGCGGCTATAGTCATCCGCAGTAGGCATGTAGCGTGGCCCCTGCATTTTGGCTCTTCCGTTCGGCATCCCCGCGAGCATCTCAGTGACCGCACTGTGCCTGTATGTAAAGGCTTCCCCTGGAAATAGACTCGAAAGTGACGCAGCGGGGCCCGGGGTGTGCTTATTTAAAATACAGGCGTGTAGTCTTAAGCTGCTTCTCGAAAAAGCCTGTCCCCATTTGCATCAGCCTCATCAGATCTAAAGAAGCCAGGAGATGCCTGAGCCGCACTGGTTCTGTCTCCCTGCAGGTACCTGGAAGAGGTGGGCTACACGGACACCATCCTGGACATGCGGTCCAAACGCGTGCGCTCCCTCCTGGGCCGCTCGCTGGAGCTCAACGGGGCCGTGGAGCCCAGCGAAGGGGGCCCCAGGGCCACGCCAGGCCCTGGGGGGCTCAGCGGCGGTGAGTCGCTGCTGGTGAAACAGATCGAAGAGCAGATCAAGAGGTGAGCCCTCACAGGTCTGGTCCTCTGTGGCCCCTCCTCCCGGTGAAGGCCAGTGTCACAAAAGTCAGCAGTGCTCCTGGGTGCTCTGGTGGCCACTTCCTTCCTGGAGCATGTTGTGGGCTGGTTTGTTCCAGAGCCCTTGGTCCCTTCACTGTTCTGGGTCCCCCTGTGCGTCCTCTCCCATGGCATCGTGTTTGTGCTGATTCATGCCACAGCTCACGCCCAGCCCGGCCCCCCTCCTGAGGCTCAGGCCTTACGCTGCTCAGCACACAGAGCACCTGCTGGAGGCCGACCCTGGGTGGCGTGCTGGGGCCCAGCGGGGAGCGAAACACACGGCCGCCGCCTGGGGACTTCCTCCTGGTTCCTTCTCTTCTCTGTAGTTGTCACTCATCAACATAAGTAATTTAACGTTCGCTGATGTTTGGTGTTGCAGAGAAAGGTCGGAAGAAAGAAAGATGGGGAAGTGGGCGATGGGGGTGGTTATTCACGGAGGTGACATCTGGGCAGAGAACCGCAGGAAGTGGGAGAGTAAGCCACACAAGTACTAGAAGGAGAATGTTCTAGGCAGAGGGAATGGTGATTGTCAGGTCAGAGTTCCACTTGGTGCGTTCAGGAACCCACAGCAAGGACAGCGTGGCTGCAGCGAGTGAGCACATGGGCTTGTGGTCTGTGGTGAGGTTGAAATCTCGGGAGTCAGATCAAATGGGGCCAGAGCAGCCACGATAGGGAGTTTGGAGTCTCTGAGTTGTGGGAAGCCTGTGGTTTCGAGCAGGGCGTGACACAATCCCATGTGCTGGCCTCCTTCGCGAAGGAGGGGCCGTAGGGCGGGAGCGGAGCCTCCTGGGCCATCCAGGTGAGAGGTGGTGGATGCGGGTGGTGGAGGGGGTGAGCTGGCCAGCCTCTCTGCAGGTTTGCTTTTTAAAGAAATGGATGTGGGGGAGAGGAAGGAAACTAGGGGGTGGCTCTGGGGTTTGGTCCAGCAACGGGAGCAGCGTTGACTAGTTGACTAGTGGGGAGGACGAGCAGTGGAAGGGATGGCAAGGGGGCCGTCGAGGGCGGGTGGAGTTCACGGGGCTGGGTCGCCCCCCCAGGACCAGTGATGAGTAGCCAGCCTGGGGCTCGGCTGGGGGGCGCTGCACTCCAGACTGCCCTCTGGCTCACCAGCGCGCAGGGGGGGATTTGCAACCTGGAGGCGGCGGCACAGGAGGCCAAGCGGGTGCGGCCACGGTTGCAGGGGGAGACCCGAGTGGTGGCCGGCAGCCGAGCGCAGACGTGCTCCGCTGGGAGGCTGTGCACCCGGTGGCTGGGGAGGGAGCGCTGGACTTGGCAACCCGGAGGAGAGATCTGTCCTTGGAGCGCTAACCACATACCTGGGGGTTGGCAAGGACCCTCTAGAGCGTCGGCCTAGTGGCAAGAAAGGAGAATGCTTGTGTTTATCCGAACTTTGAATTCCACCTGCTTTTCTATCCTGGACTCAGGTTTGGCAGATACGTCCTTTGTTAAAGCTTGTCATCCAGTCGGAGGCATTAGACAGTGGGGCCGGAGTGGAAACAGGAGGGGACAGGCTCACTGCTGGCGAGGCTGGCAGCGGGTACACCAGCATTGGCAGAGGGACCGCTTCCTCCTTCCCGCCGGCCGTGTTTGCCACTCGCCTGACCTGCGCCCGGGGTTCTCCCGGCCCGTGGGCAAGGGGGCTGCTTTCTCGGCCGGCTCTCCTGGCTCCGCACGTGCGGGCAGATGTGTGGTTGGGGCCGGGGGTGGGGGCTCGTGCTCGGGGGCTCAGAGCTCAGGGAGGAGGGGCCCAGGGTGCGGTCTGAGTGAGGGTGGTCGGGTCGTGGAGAGTGTGTGTCAGGCGGAGGCTGGGACTGGAGCCCCCTATGTGATTGGGGTCCAGGCTCCTGTGGGGTCACAGTGGGCTCAGCCCTCTTGAGAGCGGGGTCCGGGCTCTGGCCACGGCACCTCAGCGCCCTCCCATCAGCTTCGTCACCTGGCGGGACTAATGCTCCCTCTGCCCCCCTCTCGTGGGCAGGAACGCAGCAGGCAAAGACAGCAAAGAGCGCCTGAGCGGCTCGGTGCTGGAGCAGATCCCCTTCCTGCAGAACTGTGAGGACGAGGACAGCGACGAGGATGATGAGCTGGACAGCGTGCAGCACAAGAAGCAGCGCGTGAAGGTGCGCTCCCCTCGCCTCTCCCACCCCCTGGGGGGCCCGCCCACTTTGCAGACCGGCAGCAGAGTGCCCCTGTGGGTGCTCTCGGGGCTCCCTTCCCAGCCCGGTCTATGTGCGGCCTGACCCTGTCCCTTCCCAGGGTTCGCGTCCCCTCTCCAGCCAAGCCCCTGCCTCGGTGCTGTGTCAGGGCCCGCTTCTTCAGCCCCACCCCTATCTTCTCCCATCCTCCCTTCGGTTCCTGAGAGGCCTGAGCTCTCCAGACTGGGCCAGCCATGCACTGCCCTCTCGCAGCGCACTCTCCCTCGGGCTAGCCTCGTCACCGTCGCGCTGAGCTATTTTTGGTGTGGCTGTGCCTCTCTGTCTTCTCCCTCCACAGGCTGTGAGCTCTGCCAGACAGGGACTGTGGGGGTTTCCTTGCTCTTCTCTCCCCAGCACCCAGAATGGATGTGGCGGGGCCCTGGGCAGTGCCGGGGCCAGGTTGGGGGTCCCACGGGGGACTTTGTAGGCGCAAGTGTCCAGTCTGCTCTTGTGTCAGGACCTAAGCCCAGGGGCACCGCCTGCAGGGTAGAGTCCAGATCTCAGCTTGGCTTCACGGTAATGGCTCCCACCCCACTTCACCCCTGCTCCTCAACTTCCCGAGCCACCGTGCTCCTACTGTTTCAGTGGTACTAACCTCAGGCACGGCTGGGCTCCCTTGGCTGGTAAATGTCAGTTTGGGCCTCCATGAGCCTAGCCCTGCGCCAGCAGTAACAACGTGGAGACAGAGGTCCAGTCCCTGGCTTGGGGGAGCTTGGGCTGGCGGCATGCCCATGCAGGGGTGCCTGTGTGTGGCCTTCCCATCAGAACCCCTCCCTGCCGCCTTCAGCCTCACCTTAGCACCCCTCCTCCAGGCAGCCCTCTCTGACCTCTCACCTGCCCTTCCTCCCCTTCCCCCCCTTCCCTCGGCAGGGTTGGAGCCATCTGGACCCGAACTGGTCCTCCCTGCCTGGTATACCCATGGCTGTGCGAGACCAGCTCTATCTCCAGAGTCCCCAGTGTGGCTCAGTACAGGGTCCCGCCTGGCGTGGGTGCTCAAGGAACGGACAGAGCCAGCACACTAGAGCTGGTTTACGGGAAAGTCAGGATGGCGCTGGGTCTGGGGCCTCTACCCCTGTTCCTGCTCCCTCCCGCCCCTGTTGGGATTTTCACTCCTTTCTCAGCTCTTACCTCATTCTCCTCTGGGAAGCCTGCCCGCTCCGCTCTGCTCCTCCCTGCTCCTCCCAGCGGAGATCATTGCTGACTTTCCATACTTCCTTAGGCCTTTGTGTGTCTGTCACTGCGCTTGTCCTGTGGGCCCTGTGGGGTGGCTCATTGTGCAGGGGTCTTGAGCCCCCAGGGCCACTCTCTCACCTTGCAGACCTGCAGTGACCAGGCTGATTCCAAAGACCTCTGAGACTCCTGGAGTGGCTGCTGGCCTGGCTGTGTGCCTTTGGGCACGTGATTCTGTCTGAGCTGCAGTTTCAGAATCCCTGCCTCTGGGTTGTTGAGGGTTTAATTAACATAAGCTCATGCACAGAAAGCCCTTGGCTACACTGGGGCTGGCCGCACCGAGTGCTCGGGCTCGGCGGGCAGAACAGAATTACTCGGGAACCCTCTCTTGCGGACCCTGGAGGACGCCTGTTAGGCTGCCACGCTCCTCTAGAGCTCCGGCGCCCCCATTGCCTCTCTGGGCATGCTGGCTAAACCTGGACCCCGGGGCTTCCACAGGGAAGGAAGGGGACGTTACCATGTCTTGTCCCTCATGGTCCTCCCACACAGGCCAGAGGCTGGCCCCTCCCGGATGCCTGAGCGGTTTTGACTCCAGCGCCCGCTTGGAGTGCTGAGCCCGTGGGAGGGTCAGCTGCACCCTCGAGGAGCTTGTGGTCTGACTGAGGCTGGCCCCGGTGGTGCCCAGGACTTGGTCTAGTCAGGGAACACTTAGGAGGCAGAAGCGTCCTCGGAAGAGGTAGTGTTCGAGGCGGTGGTGGTCAGAGCGCCCGTGCTGGGGTGGGGTATGTTCTTAAGCCAGCATTTAAAGCAGAAGTGTTCAAAACTGTTAGTGAGAATTCTGGGGCTCCTTTAAGCCATTTTCTGCGGTCTTTGAGGTTCCAAGCACACATCCCCTAGATGGCACTTGGGGTACAATGTAGTGACGTCACGTGTAAGATGTCATTGTAGAAGGCTGTGTGTGAAAGGCATCCACGTGGGGAAATGCAGGTGCCGTGCTGCCCCGAAACCCCAAGTCTGGGAAGTATGGGCTGGGGTCCAGGTGCACGCGTCGAGGAACACGAGAGGATTGGTTCCTAGCGCTGCTTTAAGACTGACGGTGAGGACCGCCAGCGCTCACCTGCCCCAGCGTCCTGCTTCTCAGGATGGGGGACCCGTGCTGTTTTCTCTTGTTCCAAAAGTAGCGCGCGCTGGTCATGTAAGAAAACAAAGCTTGAGCCAGCCAAGAAAGTTCTAAGGAAGACTCGGAGAACCCTTGGTAGGCTCGCGGTCCAGAGCTGTCTTAGTGTTTCCGGGACGGCTCGGACCGGGGACCTGAGGGGAGGGGCTTCACTGCTCAGCCTGTTTGCTCGTGATAAATGCTGTAATGATCAGTGTTCGCGAGGTGGTCAGGTCACGTGGGACGCTTGCCTGGCGCGCTGAATGACGCACAGCGGCTAGCGCCACCGGTCTCCCTGGGCACCTAGACGTTCCCACTTGAATTGTGCGCCTCCGTACACACACTCGCACACCTGTGTTTCTCCTCTGCCCCAAAACAGGCTGTATTGCCTTTTTGTCCCTGAGAAGTACCGGTGCTGAAGGGGTGGGGGTGGCGGCAGAGGAGGGAGCAGGAAGAGCCGGGCAAAAGCCGGGAGGAGGGTCCTGGGAGGGGATCACGCGTGCAGGTGGAGGTGGCAGTGAGGGTAAGAGGTGTGCAAAGCCCCGCTGGGGGGTTGGGGGGGCTGGCAGCGCCCTGGGCCTAGTAAGGAGTGACCTCTGAAAGCTCCCAGCAGGGGGAGCACAGCCTCCGAAGTGTGTTAAGGGGAGCCTGCAGGGGAAGGCACTGGGGGAAGGGAAGCGGAGCCTTCGGCTGGGGGGGGGCTTGTCAGGCGGAGGCTCAGAGCCTCCTGACCTGTCTGGCTTTCTCCACGCCCAGCTGCCCCCCAAGGCCCTGGTGCCCGAGATGGAGGATGAGGACGAGGAGGATGACTCTGAGGATGCCATCAATGAGTTCGATTTCTTGGGCTCAGGAGAGGAGGGGGAGGGCTCCCCGGACCCTCGACGATGCACTGGAGAGGGGACCCACCACGAGCTGGGTAAGCGGAGGGTTTCCTGGCCAGCCTTCCTCCCGGGTGAGCTAGGGGCACACACAGCCGCCAGCAGCTGCTTCCTGCCCCTGAGGCTCCGCCGGACGGATATGCTTCCTGAGGGGGTTGGCCCAGGAGAGCACGAGGCCCGCACCCTGGTGGCCAGGCCCTCACCCCTCCCTTGGGAAATCCCTGCGGCCACGCAGCAGGCCCAGCTCTTCCTGGAGCAGGGCCTCCAGCCCTCCATGAGAGCAGCTGATTCTCGGCGGCCCCCAGGGAGGAACAGGATGAGGAGCTGGTGGGGAGAGGCAGACGGGGCAGTGCTGCGTCTTCGTCTTGTTCCGGGACTCCGAGCCGAAAGGCTCTCAGCCGTCACATAGGACGGCTAGGAACTGAGGCCCCTGCCAGGCTGGGACTGCAGAGGGTCCCAGCTCGGTCTGTCTCCTCCGCCCCGTCCTCAACTCCCACCTGGAGCCCTGCGCTCTGGGGCCAGCACTTCCTGGCTGCCCCACGTTTGCTGGAGGGGCTGCTAGTGACTGGAACTGGTGGGCAACTCCAGCCCTGTGCTTTTGTCTCCCCAGAAAGCCGGCGGGTCAAACTCCAGGGCATTTTGGCCGACCTCCGGGATGTGGACGGGCTGCCCCCTAAAGTGACTGGTCCCCCTCCTGGCACACCCCAGCCCCGGCCACACGAAGGTAAGAGGCCCCTCCACCCTGGCCTAGTCCCCTGGGGCCCATGGCAGGTTTGGGGGGGTCTGCAGAGCTAAGCCCAGGGCTTCTGTGTCCTCAGGGTCAGAGCCTGGCCTCTAGTCTGCAGCCTCCCTGTCGCAAAAGTTCGTCTGTCTGTCTGTCTCCCTCTCTTCTTGTCTGTCCTGCCTTGTCTGTCTGTCTCTCCCTGTCTCTTTCTTTCCAGCTGTGATTCTTGATCTTGTCCTCTCCCTGTCTCTCTCTCTGACTCCTTGCTTATCTCCCTCTCTGCCTCTCTCTGTCTTTCTCTCTCTCTCTCCCTGCCCCTCTCTGCCCCCTCCCTCCCCTACCCCTACCAGGTTCCTTTGGCTTCTCCTCAGACGTTTTCATCATGGACACTATCGGGGGCGGGGAGGTGAGCCTGGGGGACTTGGCAGATCTCACCGTCACCAACGACAACGACCTCAGCTGTGATGTAAGTTCTTGGGGTGCCCCACCCCCTGCGGGCCCTCATTGGGCATCCCACACCGAGCCTGCTCTTGCTGAGCTCTGCCTGCGCTTGGTCCCCTAGCAGGAGGATGCTGTGAGGTCATTCAGCAGCTCACTCTGGTTTACAGAGGGGTGTGGACATGGCCGGGGCTGGGGCTTGAGGGGGTTACTGAGGTGCAGGGCCTGGAAGACACTGCAGTGTAGCCAGTGCCCAGCTCCTGCAGGTGACGCTCCCTTGCAGCCCAGCTTACGTTCATCTTGAGTCCAGGCCCCCCACGGTCTGGGGGCAGGGCAAGGGGGCACAGCATCTGAGGAAGGGGGCTCTGGGTCGGCACAGTGCAGGGAAGATAGGCTGTGCGGGAGATAGGCATTGAGCTGATCTTTGCAGACAGAAACTGAAAAAGCAGGCATGAGTGGGGCTGGTGGGCCGATGGGCCAGGGTGGAAGGAGAGGTCAGGGCCAAGTGTTCGGGACCCAGTACCCCCAGAGTGGCGTCTGGCCATCTGGTAGTTTCTGAATCAGGTGCATGTGTGCATTTCCCTGTGGCAGAACAGCCACCACAGCTTTTAGCCGGATCTCACGTGGTTGGTGACGCCAGCGAGGTTGGGGGCACTGCTGTGGGATGCTGGGAAGGGGGGCCAGGGTGGAGGCTTCGAGCAGGGGTGCGTGCCCGTGAGGGTGCCACCACACAGTGGCGGAGCCTCTGGCCCTAAAGAGCTAGGGCGGTGGTGATGGCAGACGTGGGGACCGTGGGGGATGCAGCCCACATGAAGGGGCTGGTCGGGTGTGAACCCCATGTTGGGGCAGGACACTGGGTTTTGCCTGATGGTCTGCTCATCTTTGCCAGCTGGCTGCCTCTGGGTCCCCCACAGAGAGCACCACCACCGTCTACCAAGGCATGGGCAGTGTCTCTGGGAACCCCCCCCGCAGCAACCTGCTGATTCTGCTCCCCAGTCTCTCCCTACTGTGTGTACCTGTCCCCATTTTCGCTCCCCAGCGTGTGCTCTCTGTGCCCTCCTCTTTCCCTGAGAGGCTTCTCTCCTGACCCCTTAGCCTCTCTGCAGCCACGCCCATCTTCCCTGGTCCACGTCAGTTCCCTGCTCTAAACCCTTCCAGGGCTCCCTGTTTCACTCAGGGTGAGATGCAGGTTCCCGAATGTGGCTCCACCCTCGGCTCCTGCCACTCTGTCCCTTGCTTTCTGTAACCTGGGCCTCCTCTCAGGCTCCGGATCTGCTCCGGCAGCTGCAGGGACTTCGCACATGCAGTGTCCTTCTTCAGTCCCCTCCCCTGACCTGGTTAAGTCCTGCTCCTCTGGCGGCTCCTCAGGAAAGCCTAACTGACCGCCACAGAGGTGGCCAGGCTGCTTGGGTACCTCTCCCCGGTCCATTTTTAATTCCTAGCGCTGCTCGGAGTTCACAGGCCTGTGCACTGTGGGGTGATCTGATGGTCTCCCCCAGGCCCCCTCTGACCTGACTATGTGCCCAAATTGCAGCTAGTGCCCGCACACTGTAGGACTCACTGAGTGAGCGAGGCGTGCTGTGGGTAGGGTGCCTGGGGCTGGAGGCCAGTGGCGGGTGGGGGGTGCTCCACGTGGGTCTGGGTGACTTGACATCCTGGATGCCGGTCAGCGTCCATGGGACTGCGGGGACACTGAGGCAGCTCCCCCCACCCCAGCTCTCTGACAGCAAAGATGCCTTTAAGAAGACGTGGAACCCCAAATTCACTCTCCGCTCACACTACGACGGCGTGCGCTCCCTGGCTTTCCACCACAGCCAGTCTGCCTTGCTCACCGCCTCTGAGGACGGCACGCTCAAGCTCTGGAACCTGCAGAAGGCTGTCACAGCCAAGAAGTGAGGGCGGACACCCCAGGGGGGAGGGGAGGAGGAGGGGGCATGTGGGTTCAGGGTGATGAGGGGCTCCCGGTGACATGCGGCTCCTTTGCCTCCCCCCAGGAATGCTGCGCTAGATGTGGAACCTATCCACGCCTTCCGGGCTCACAGGTAGGGAAGTGCTCCCGAGGGGAGTGTGGTCACTGGCCTGCTTACTGCTGCACCAGGGGGCCGATGGCCCTCTGCACACGCACACCCTTGCTGCCGGTGCTCCCCAGGCCAAGTGCCCCCGTAGCTGGTTCTCAGCCCAGCCTTCGGAGGAGGAAACGGGTGTGGGGAGTTGGGGGAAGGCAGGTCTGGGTGGCCCAACCAGAGCCCCAGATGCTGAATTCCTTTTGGCCATCCTTGAAAAATCTAGCAGGGACTTCAGGGGGGGCCTGGGGAGGGGTGAGACTGAGGTTTTCATCTCCCCCTCACCACCTGTGTGCCCTGCAGGGGCCCCGTGTTGGCAGTAGCCGTGGGCAGCAACAGCGAATGCTGTTACAGCGGCGGGGCTGACGCCCGCATCCACAGCTGGAAGATTCCAGACCTCAACATGGACCCCTACGACGGTTATGGTGAGGACAGCTCACCCCCCCTCGTGGGGGGGAGCATGGAGCAGCGTGTTCAGCATGTGACAGGGGTTGGACAGGCTGAGGCAGGAAAGAGGTGGTGTGGGGGGACTGCCCCCCAGAGGAGCTGGTGGGTGAGCTGACTCAAAATCACCACTGGGGCCGGGGATCAGCCCATGCAGAGGCGTGGCGGGCCCTGGCAGTGCCTTCCAGCGCTGAGCGCAGGGAGGCGGTGAGCAGAAGTCAAGCAGGGAAGAGGGGAGAAGTTCATTGGGCCAGGTTGTAGGGAGTCTGCGCTTGGTCTTTGGCGCACCTTTAATAGTTAAGTGGAGAAGTGATCACACTGTGATTTCTGTCCAGCGTCTGTCCCCTGCCTCATGACGCCTCTTTCAGTAACTCTCTTGATGACCTGCACGGTCCTGTGCGGCATTTTGTCATGGCGGAGTTTAGAGGTCTGTCTTCCCTCGAACACACGCTGTTTCCCCAAGAACAGTCCGACCCTGTGAAAGGTCAAGGGTCAGTCCCAGGTAGTATGTGCTCTGGGCCATGTAGGCTGCCCCACACTGGGGTCAGCAGGGCCTGACCGAGCGGCCTCTGTGGACTTGAGTGACCAGGGAAGCAGGGCTTGTGCCCCGGGGTGGAAAGGGCTGCAAGGAGCACGGGCCGGGCCGGGCCGACCCACAGGGCCACCACTGTTCCTTTTCCCCCTAACTAAGTCCTAAAAATCGTGTACCAACTGCCTGCTTTGTGCCAGGTACTATTGTGGGTGCTGTGGGGTTGGCAGCGAACCGGGGGGACTCCCTGCCCTCTGAGCTTCCATTCTGGGTTGCCTTCGGAGTCCTAAAATCTTCCCAGAAGCGCCAGTGGTCAGAGTGTGAGCAGCTAGCTGGGGCACGTTCCAGTGGTGACAGTTCTGAGGCCCTGAGGAAGCTGGGTGAATGGGTGGCCCCAGCCCAGCCGCCTGGCTCCCAGCAGAGTTGGTGCTCTCGAGCTGGCCAGGTTGGGGCTGGTGGCCCTGACGTAGCCCGTTTCCTCCCGTTGGTGTGTCCAGACCCGAGCGTGCTGAGCCATGTCCTGGAGGGCCATGGGGACGCTGTATGGGGCCTGGCCTTCAGTCCCGCCTCCCAGCGCCTGGCCTCCTGCTCTGCCGACGGCACCATCCGTATCTGGGATCCCAGCAGCAGCCCAGCCTGCCTCTGTACCTTCCTCACAGCCAGCGGTGAGTGGAGGGATCAGGCCTGGGAGGGACGCCGACACCTCACAGAGGACTTGGGTAGAGCTGGAGGCCCCAACAGGAGCATGACTCCTGATGAGGACCCAGGCTTCCCAAGTCCCCTCCCGCAGCCCCCAGGCAGGACCAGGCCTGTTAAGCAGCCTTCCCTCCCCTCTGCCCTCAGATCATGGGATCCCCACCTCAGTGGCCTTCACCAGCACCGAGCCTGCCCACATTGTGGCCTCCTTCTGCTCCGGCGACACTGTCTTGTATGACCTGGAGGCTGGCAGCGCTCTCCTCTCGCTGGAATCTCGGGGGAGCAGCGGTAAGAGGGGGCCCCGGGGCCCCGGGCCGTTATCTGAGTGCCTCCAAGGCCCCAATCCCTCCTGTGGCTTTGGTGACCCGACATCCAGTGAGCAGAAGACGGGTTCCCTACCCTCCCCCACCAGGGGCTCTGGGTGGGAAGGAGATAAGAGTCCCAGCTGCCACCCTTGTGGCTAGCACGGGGCTCCTGGGAAGGCTGAGGGAAGAGAGATCATAGGGACTCGCCCGTCAGGCCTCTTGGCAGAGTGGACGGCCCCTGTGGGTGTCTGTACCCCATCTTGGGCCACCCCCGGCAGGGCACGGTGCCTGTCTTACAGATGAACAGTGGACCCAAGCAGGAGAGAGCCAGGCAGGGGGCAGGGCTGTGGGACCGTGGTTCTCCTCTTGTCTTTGTCCTGGTCTCCCTGATTTCCCCCATGTCCTTCTCTCCTCCTTGCCTTCCAGGCCCAACCCAGATCAACCAGGTGGTGAGTCACCCGAACCAGCCCCTCACCATCACCGCCCACGACGACAGAGGCATCCGCTTCCTGGACAGCCGGACAGGTGAGGCCCCACCTTCCCGGCGCCCCCTCACTTGTGCTCGTGGGGGGCTGCCCAGATGACAGAGCTCCTGGTGCCCATGTTGCGGGCTCTCGGCGTCCCGTCTGGGCCTTCGCCTCCCCAGGCAAGGCAACGAGGGAAAGTAACCTGCCACTCACCCTCTCTTCCCTCAGGGAAATCTGTGCACTCCATGGTAGCCCACCTGGACGCGGTCACCTGCCTCGCCGTGGACCCCAACGGCGTGTTCCTGATGTCGGGAAGTAAGTCGGGACCCTCCCAGGCTTCTAAGGAGCAAGGGTGTGTGGGAGCGGAAGAGGAGGAGACGTGGGCACTGGTCACGAGGGAGTCCTCCCGGGCTCCCTGAGGTGGGGGAGCAGAGCCCCCTGGGGACATTTGCCTACATCTCAGTTCATCCAGATAACCCTCTCGGGTGGGCGTGTTGTACTTACCGTGCACATGTGGAAACAGGCTCAGAGAAGCGACGTACTTTGTCTCAGCGAAGTGGGCTGGTTGCAGGAATGAAGTTGGGGTCCGTCTTGAGTCTCCGTCCCCACGGGATCTTAGCATTCGGGAGCACGTGCTCTCTGTGGATGAGGGCACTGAAGCCCAGCTCCTGCGCAGCTGTGCCTCCAAGGGATGGGGTGGGGTGTGGGCCGATGGAGAAGGGCGGTAGCTGCCCAGGGAGGTGAGGGCGGTGCACGGCTCCTCAGGGAGGCCATGGGCAAGGGGCCTCCTTCCACTCCCCTCTGCTCGCCGTCAGAGCTTGTGGGAGGTGACGAGCGAGCGAGCACACGGGATGGGGACCCATCGTGGCCTGTTCTCCATCTGCCCTGTGACAATAGCAGCTGTCTCCAGGGATGGTGGTAGAGGGGGCGGTCAGTGAGATCGAGTCTGGGGCAGAGAGGCTTTGGGACAGGGCCCAGGTCCCCCCTGTGAGGGACCTACAGAGCCGGCCTCCACCACAGCCAGCCTGATCCTTCTAACGCTTAAGTCAGGCCGTCTCCATGGGTGGCTCGTGCCTCAAGCCCCCGCCCTGTCTGCTCCCCTCTCTCTGACCTCCCCCCGCCCCCATGTCCCTGCTCAGGCTGCTCAGCCACACCCACCTCCTGCCAGTCCTCAGAACCTTCCCTTGGCCCACCCTGCTGCCTGCCGGACTCTTCCTCCTGATACCCCCTTGGCCGTTCTGTCCTCACGCTGACCAGTGCCCACAGTGCTGCTGACCCCCCAGCATGATTCATTCTGCTTTCTTGTTTACTCTCTACCACACTGGAATGTCAACGGCCCCGGGGCGGGGGGGTTGGCCTAGCGTGTTCACTGTGCCCCCAGGGCCCAGTACACACTCGGCAGCTCGGTGGATGGATGGCAGGCTGGCAGGCTGGGCCGAGGTGGGTGAACAGGCCAGAGCCCTCACCCAGTGCCAAGTCCAGCTCCTCCAGAGGCTGAGGTTCAGAGGGGCCGGGGTGCGTGCTGGGGGACAGCCCTTTCTGCTCCCACACCTGCGCAGGCCACGACTGTTCCCTGCGTCTGTGGAGCCTGGACAACAAAACGTGCGTGCAGGAGATCACAGCCCACCGCAAGAAGCACGAGGAGGCTATCCACGCTGTCGCGTGCCACCCCAGCAAGGCCCTCATTGCCAGCGCTGGTGCCGACGCCCTGGCCAAGGTCTTCGTATGATGCCCACCTGGCCCCGCCCTGGCTGCCGTGCCGGCTGGGGAGCGGGGCCGGGCAGGTGGCACTGAGGTGAGAGGCTGGACAGGAGGGAGGCTTGGTCTGGGAGGGCAGAAACCCCCTGCCTCCTCACCCCGAACGGGACTTCAAACGCGTCCCTTTGCTCGGCCCTTCTAGAGGGTGCCATGTCCCAAGGTGGTAGTCGAGGCACCTCGTGAGAATCATCGAGGTAGCAGCCCCTGGGCATTGAGAGAGGGGGCTGAGGCGGCCTGAGCTCTTGGACCTGGGGTGTCATGCTCGGGTCTCCCTTCCCTTCTGTCTACCTCAGGTGACTCCCAGCCTCAGTCTGGAGGCCTGGAGGCCTGGCCTCTTCCCGCCTGCCTGGGAGCCTGGTGGTGCTAACGGCCCTTTCCCCAGGAGGCTGACCCCACGGCCTGTCCTTCCCCAGGCATCCAGCCTGGGGAGCAGCCTCCTTCAGGAATCACCCTCTGGGATGGCCTCGGGGAGTTTCCTCTCTGTGCCCTGCCACCCAGTCCTGGTATCGGAGCCACCTTCTCGGGTGCAGCACAGCCGGGGCTGGGTGTCCTTGGGGATCAGCTTTTCCAAGACGCCAGAAGGTGCCAGGTTCTCTCTTTGAACCCCTGACCCCCCCTTCTCCATCTTCCCAGACCTGAGTGGGAGCTGTGCTGGGAGGAGCCCCAGGCGCCCCTGCTCTGGGTCCCCTGGGAAACCATGGAGCCAGCTGGACCCTGGGCTGCCCTCAGGGGGAGTGCCCGGCCTGGCCCACCCCACAAGCACGCCCAGTCCCCCACCCTCCCCTCCAGTTCCCTCAACACAGCTTTCCAGACACTACCCAGCGTCTCCAGGGCCAGTAACTGCCTGGGGAGCAGGTGATGCCCTCGGGGGAGGCGCCCACCCCTACCTCCCCCACTGCTCCCAGCCCTCCTCCAGGGGCAGCCCCCCAGCCCCCATGGGGTCACCCATGGGGAGAGATGGCCTTCTCTTGCCCCTCCCTAGGGCATGGAGGCTGAGGGGGTCCCCCGGGTCCCCCACAACTCTCTGTATATCTGTATAAATAAATGGGATGTTAATGGAGCCCCGCCCCCCACCCCCCATGTTGTTATCACTGTGTGATAGTCTGTGTCTCCTCTCCTGGTCCTCCACTCTCTTCCTCTATTTATTTCACTCTCTTTTTTGGGTTCCACCCTGAGCCCTCGGGCCCCCTTCCAGGTTCCTGTTTATAAGCCCCCGTCCCCTCTGCCCTGGACTTGGATGTGAAACTTGTCTCAATAAACCCTTTGGAGTAAGATGGGTGGTGGTGCTGACTGTCAGGGGCCTGAGGGAGCCAGGGACTTCGGGAGATGAGTCTTGGGCTCTGCCTGGGCTGGGTGGAGCTCAGGGAGGGGATATGATTGATGGGTTGGGTTTTGTGGTAGGGTGGGGGGCGGGAAGAGAGGGGCCCAGAGTTTGGGCAGGGTGTGGGTGGAGGCCCGGAAATGGGGGCACAGGACCGAATCTCCCCGTGCCCCTCCTTTCTGTTCCTAAGTACTCCCTCCCCAGGGGCCTCAGCAGCAGCCTGGGGGCAGAGCCCTGGCAAGCAGATGATGTGAGGTGACAGATCACTACCTTCCCCTTCTCCTGCTCCCTCCTCTTGCCCCCCCCCCCCCCATCAGCCCACATGGAGTGGGGACGGGAGAGCCTGCGCCCTGCTGGGAGCTGCCGCAAGGGTGCAGGTGATGGGGGCGCCCGGTCCCTCACTGCAGGTGCCCTGAGGAGTCCCGTCCCTGCACCAGGTCAGTTACGTGCTTAGCAGGAGCCAGACCCCGTGCAAAGTTCCTCACATGCTGGTTCACTGGAGCCTCACAACAGGCTCAGGAAGTGGGGATCGTGAGCACAAGTTACAGAAAATGAGGTGGGGAGGCGCTCAGGACCCCCAGCGGGTCATAATTCGTAGCCAGTCCCATGGGGCTCCCTCTGCACTTTTCGGGGCCTCAGCATCCTCTGTACAACGGGCCTGATGCTAATGCCCACCCCCTGGGTTGCCAGGGGCTGTGCCCCAGTGCCCAGAATAGGACCTGGCCCCTCTCGGGGCCCCGGGAACACTTGAAGAAGGATGCAGGTGGCCAGATGGCCATCAGGTGACACTGACAGGAGCCTAGCTGCGAGCTCCACGTGGCCTTGCTCCGCCCTCATCCCTCAGGGCTCTGAGCAGCTTCCCCAGGTGGTGGTTTGGGTTTTCACTCCAGCCTCAGACTTCCTTCCCCAGCCCCAGCCAGCCCCCGGATGTGGTGGCAGTCACTGCTGTACCGACCTCAGCTGCCCCCAGCAGCCCTTTAGCGGGAGGGGGGCTCCTCTTGAGGCCCCCATCCCCAACCAGCCCTGCTGGTCTGGAACCCAGGTGGGCGGGTGGCCCATCTACTGGGATGCCTTTGAAGCTCAAAGTCAGGCCTTGACCCCTCAGTGGAGGGGGTGGGGTGGCAGCAAGTCTAGTGGTGATCTTGGACAAGTCATTTTGCCCCTAGGGGGTTCAGTTTCCTGAATGTAAACTAAATGGCGGCCACTCTTTATTATTAGCTGGGGAGGAGAAATCCAGTCTGAGTTGCTCCTGAAAGGGCTAGAAGAGCTGTTTTAGCACAAGCCTGGCACACAGTAGGCCGGCATTCAATGCTTGCTGGATGACTGACAGAATGAACGGACTCCTAAACACCTGAGAGCTTGAGGTGCCCACCCCTTTATCTCTGCAAAGTTCAGTGCCGGCCACCACCTACTGAACTTCAGCCCTGTGCCACGATCTCAGTAATCCCCCCAAAGACCCTCTGGGCTCAGTCCGATTACTGTTCCATCTAAGAAACAGGCTCGGGGGAAGCCACCTACCTAAAGTCACAGAGAGAGACAGACACGTGCACGCTGCCCCCGGAAAACAATCAGTTCATCGAGGACGTGGGGTGGGTGTGCTGTCTTCCCTAGTTACTATGGCCCCTTAAGGCACCCCCAGGTCTGTGGCTCTTCACTCTCCTGAGGGCTGGGGCAGAGTGGGGAGCTGATGGAGGGAAACTACACCCCTTCTCCACCCGCCCTGTGCCTGACCGGCCCTGCACAGATATCCCAGCCCCGGCCCCTCCAGTTGCCTCCATGCACCTCGTCAAGGCTGCCAGAGACAGACAGGAGGCAAGGACCTTTGGCAGATCCGGAGGCCTCTGTCTTCCCACCTGTGTAATGGGCTGGGGATCTCTACAGCACCGCCTCCCCTGGGCAGGGGTGGGGGATGGGGAGGACGACGCTCTTGAGAAGAGGTGGGCCGAGCCCAGAGGTCCGAGAGCGGGCTGGACCTGACACCAGTTTCCCACCCTTTCCCCTGCGGTGGGCGCCGGATGCAGGCCAGGCTAGACTAGACGGCCCCCTTCCTTAAAGGGCCAGGCGCCTCCTCAGCCCCGGCCCCACGACGGTGGCTCGCCCCTCCTCTCCAGCTCAGGGAATAGTTAACTTTCCAGACTTGGGTGTGTTGGGGGAAGGAATCAGTCCCGGATCCCTGCCCTGCATCTCGCACCCCAGACACCCGGACCCGGGCGGGGCAGGCGACGCCCCCAACCCCGAGGTGCCGGGCCCGCCCTCCGCTTCCGCCCCCGGCCCCCAGCAGGCTCCGCCCCTCTCCGACGTCACCGAGGCCCGCGCGGATTGGCCGACTGCGCCAGCGCTCGGGACACTTCCTCCTGGGCCGCAGCCGCAGAGTTAAAACTTTGGAGGGGGAAAAAGAGCCACCGGCGCCGAGCGCCGGGTGACCCTCCCTTCCCCCCACCAAACTGCCGCCGGTAACGCCCCCTTCTCCGCGGCCCCCGACCGAACTTTTCTCCAACTTCTGAGACCCGTGAGATTCCCCCTTAGCACCCCGGCCCTCGGGATCCCTTTGCCCATCCCCGGGCCCGTCGGATCCTTGGGATCCCCTCGATCCCCGACTCAGAGACTCTTGTCCTCCACCCCCAAGGTCTGATGAATCCCGCGGACCGCCTTAATTGGATCCTCGTCTTAGAGCCACTGTATTCTGGGATTCCCCGCTGCTGCCTTCTCAAGCCTCTCTCTCCTCAAGGGGCTTTGGATCCTGGGCTCTCCTGATCCCTGAGATTCCGACCTACTAGATTTTCTTGATTTCTTGTAATCTCTCAAGCCCTGGGTCCCTCAAACCATTAGATTTCTCCTTTATGACTCCCGAGCGTTTGACCCACTAGATTGCCTTTCTTTAATTTCCCAGGGTCCCGCCATCCTCGAGTGCCCTCAACCTGCTAGATTTCTTTTCTCGTATCCCCGGGATTCCCGCGCTCCCACCACCATCTTACGGGCTCCCTCGGATCCAGTGACCCGGGTTCCCCGGGCTCCTTCAGCCTCATCCCGGGTGGGCGCCGGGCGGCGGGTCCCGGGACTCTCCCCCCCCCGCCCCCCATGGCCGCCTCCCCTTCCCATCTCGCCGGGCTCCCAGGCTCTCCCGGGCCGGGGTCTCCTCCGCCCCCCGGCGGCTTGGAGTTGCAGTCGCCACCACCGCAACTGGCCCAGGTCCCAGCTCCAAGCTCCGGGGTCTCCTTCCACATCCAGATCGGGCTGACCCGCGAGTTTGTGCTGCTGCCCACCGCCTCTGAGCTGGCCCATGTGAAGCAGCTGGCTTGCTCCATCGTGGACCAGAAGGTAAGAGCGCAGGGTTCCTCCCAACCAGCTTGGGGAGAGGTCCGGAGGGGGTGGGGGCGCCGGCAGAGGTGGCCAGGAGCCTGGCATAGGGGAAGGGGAAAAAGGAGGATTAAGCCTTGGGCGACTGGGGGGAATGGGGATGGGGCATTTAGCCCCCAGTTGCTTCCTCATCTCACTACCATTTCGAGGGAGGCCTGGGCAGGGGCGGGGTGCTCCAAAGGCCTCCCCAAATTGCGTGTCCCTGCGTGGTGTTGTTTTCTGCAGCCAGCAGGGAGGAAGGGAGGGGCCAGCTAGGTGTCGAAGTGGGGAGGAAGGGGTAGGTGGGGGCCTCAGATGGGGGACCTCTCCATTCAAGCCCATCCCCTTCCATCTCCCATTTGGTGGAAACAGTAGAAATTGAAGCCGTGCTGGCCATGACTATCGGATGACATGTGTGGGTGTGAGTGCCTGCCCCAGCTGCCAGGGGCAAGTGAGGTCTCCCGAGCCCAATCTCTGCCCTCCCCCAGGCCTGAGATGTGTGTGGAGGGGCAGGCACCTCTTTGGAACCCCCAGAGACTCTGGGGACTCTGTCCCCTCTCCTAATCACAGTGTTACCACCCCCCAGGTCTGATGCTGGCCTGTTAAAACGGGCCTTCCCCAACCCCACCTTACTCTTAGTTTTGGACACCAGGGTCACCATGGTGGGAAGCTGGGGATCATGGCAAGAGGAAATCAGGTGGAACTCAATGCCTGAATTCTAGAATGTTAAAAGTTAGGATAGTGGGTTTCTCTGTTGTTGGAATTCTAGCCTGTAAAAATGTTAGAATATTAGAATTCTAGATTGTTCAAATATGCAACTTCTAGGTAATTGAACTCTTGATATTAAAGTGTCCAGGGGCACCTGGCTGGCTCAGTCAGTAGAACATGCGACTCTTGATCTCAGGGTCATGAGTTCCAGCCCCACATTAGGGGTAAAGCTTACTTTAAAAAAAAAAAAAAAGTGTACAAACATTAGAATCCTAGGTTGTTGGAATATTAAAACATGAAAATGGTAGAATATTAGATTCCTGGGTTGTTGGAATCGTAGAATGTTAAAATGTTAGAATTTTGGAATGCTGGGTTGTTGAAATCCTTTAATGGTAAGATACTCAAATAAATCCTAGTTTATTAGATTCCTAGAACATGAAAATATCAGACTGCTGCTGATCTAGATTGTTGAAATCCCAAAACGTGTCATGATAATATGTTGGAACCTAAGATATATATATATCATGATATATATATCATATATCATGTGAGCATGTTGGAATCCCTAAATGTCCAAATTCCAGAATCTTCTCAGACCCCCAGAAATGAATTCTTTGGGCTTCAGAGAAACATCGGGAACTGGGCCAACTCCCCCATTTTACAGACAAAGAAACTGAAGCTTAGAGACAGACTCCCCCCACCCCCAAGCAGTCAAGGCCCAGGCAGTCCCTGTGAGCTGTGGACCCTCTCCCAGCAGACAAGAACAATATGGGGCTTCCTTGGCCCTCCACCAAAACCCCAAACCCACAGGTCCAGTTGTCTTACCAACTCAGCCTGCTCTTTGGGAAGACAGATGGGGATAGGGTAGAAGGCAGACTGTCCCCTGGGTGTAATTTGTCCAGTGCCCAAATCTTTGGCCTCCTCCCTCAGGCCTCACCCCAGTTTTGTTTTCTGTCTTCTGTCCAGGTGTGGCAGGGCCCCTTTCCTTCCTTCCAGCCGCTCCACCTGGGAGGTTTCACTTTCTGTTCTACCTCGTTTCATTTCCTGCCCCCCGCCCCAGCCCCAGCTAGGGACACCTGGGTCCTTTGGACATTGGGTAGGGGGCACCCTCCCTACCTCCAGCTCTATTGAGCCTTAGCCTTCCCACCTCTCCCCCTCCCCGCCAGGAGTCCTAAGTCCCCTTCTTCCAGCTGGCCCCACCCCAGTGCTGGGCCTGGAGCCAGGTAACAGGGACAATAGATCCAGGAAGGAAGCTGGGGTGGGGTGGGGGCTTAAAGGAGGGGGTGTTCACTTAACCCCCTCCCCCCTGGAAAATTCTAGGTGCTCACGCGCCCAGAGCCACTCTCCCTCCCACCCCAGTTTCCCAGTCCAGCCACCCAGTCGGGAACTCCATTGGCGCTCTCTCCCAGCACACCTGGGGCCCTGGCACCCTGCCCACTCGCTCGAGCTGCTCTGGGGAGGGCGCAGGCAGGAAGTGCAGGGCTGCGGGGTCTCTGTTTCCGGGGGAAACTGTAGGCCCTGCCCTGGGAGTGTTCCAGGCCGCTGCCGCCGAAGGCAGCTCCGAGCCGTGCCGTCACCACCTCTCTCTCCCGCCCCTCAGTTCCCCGAGTGTGGCTTCTACGGTCTTTACGACAAGATCCTTCTCTTCAAACATGACCCCACGTCGGCCAACCTCTTGCAGCTGGTGCGCTCGGTGGGAGACATTCAGGAGGGCGACCTGGTGGAGGTGGTCCTGTCGGGTGAGCGGCGGAGGCCCGCCTGGGGGCGTCGCCTCTAGCGGGGGCGGGACTGCTGGGGTGGGCCCAGAAACATGCTTCTTAAAGTCAGGGCCAGCGGTTCGAAGCCTTGGTCGCAAATTAGAATCACCCCTGGAGCTTTGACAAACTGCCGCCCTGGAATGGGTAAATATGTTGCGTGTGCACACCGTGAAATTCGCACAGCACCGAACGTAGGCGATGTCCAGCAACATGGATGAATCTCACAAACGTAACGCCGAAAGGCATTTGCTAGACATCAGACTACATATTGTATAATTACTTTTATGAAGCGCAGAGACGGATACAGTTAGGAGCGAGGAAGGCAGGTGACTTCGCCAAAGGGCCAGTGTTCTCCCCGTGGGTGAAGGGCACCACCATCACCTGGGGGGCGTGAGGGAGATTTCTGGGGACTGATTTAAACTTCCATTTATCTATCAGGGTGTTGGTGACACGGTGTGTACAGTGTGACAGTTCCCTGAGCCATGCACTGGAGATGTGTCTTTTTCTAGATGTATGTTGTACTTTGATACAGAGTTTTAAACGTTTCCTCCCCCAACCTTGCATAGTGCAGTGCTCAGTAAAATGGGTTGAATGAGTGGATGACAATTAGCAGAAGTTATGGCCCTGGTGACCTTATTCAGGTTTTAAATATCCTCATGTAGGCCGGCAACTCTTGGATTTTTATTCATCCCGATCTCCCTCTGCTAAATCCAAATCTGTCATGTAGCTTGTCCCCCTGATACTTTTATTTGGCAGCTCTAGGCATCTCAGAGATGGCCTCTCCAAGACAGAAATCTTCATTTTGTCCTCCTTTCTTCCAGCAGTGTTCTCCACCTTGGTGAAGGGCATCACCATTCACTCAGGTGCTCATGCCCCAAATCCTGGGGGCATCCTTGACTCCTCCTTTTTCTCTCACCCCTTCACTTGATCCGTCATCAAACCAATTGGTCTTACCTTTAACATACATTCTGAATGTATTTCTTACAGCCTCCTCTGGTTCAAGCAGCGATCACCTCCTGCCTAGACTGTTACCGTAGCTCACGAGTCAGATCCTGACACTTCACTGCTCAGAATCCTCCCATGGCTCCCCATTACCCTTGGAATAAAATGCAAACTCCTCAATATGGCCTTATTATGGCTGTCCTGATCTGGCCCCTGCCAATTCCCTGGATTCACCTCTTACACTTGTCCCCCTTACTTTCTTTGTTCCTGCCATGGTTGTCTGTTCTCTGTCCCTTGAATAAACTGAGCTGCCGCCCATCTCCAGGTGTGTGCACTAGTCTTCCCGCCCCATCTTCTCATAGCTAGCTCCTTCGTGTTGTTTGGATCTGAGCTTAAATGCCATTTCCTCCAGTGTCTGAAATTTCCTTCTCTGTGTGTTTATGTTCCCTGTCTCCCCAAAAGAATGTCAGCTCCCTGAGAGTGGGGTGTTCGTAGCTTTACCCTGAGTGTGTAAGCTGTGCTTGGCACATAGAAGAGAGTCCCCTTTCTGTTGCACCATAACAAGGAAAATAGCCCGATTAGACCGAAATTCGGGGGTGAGGTGGGGAGGGTAGGAAAGAGGATGAGACTTAGTGCAAAAATGAAACTTTAAATATAAAAGTCAAGATTTATTGAGGACTTTCTGTGTGCTCTGTTTAAAGAGCACTGTTTAAAATTTTTAATTTTGGGGCGCCTGGGTGGCTCAGTTGGTTGAGCAACTGCCTTCGGCTCAGGTCATGATCCCGGAGTCCCGGGATCGAGTCCCGCATCGGGCTCCCTGCTTGGCAGGGAGCCTGCTTCTCCCTCTGACCCTATCCCCTCTCATGTGTTCTTTCTCTCTCATTCTCTCTCTCAAATAAATAAATAAAATCTTTAAAAAAAAATAAAATAAAATAAAATTTTTAATTTTTAGGGATGCCTGGGTGGCTCAGTCAGTTAAGCATCTGCCTTCGGCTCGGGTCATAATCCAAGGGTCCTGGGATCGAGTCCCGCATCAGGCTCCCTGCTCGGCGGGGAGTCTGCTTCTCCCTCTGCCTCTGCTGCTCCCCCTGCTTGTGCCCTCTCTCTTTGACAAATAAATAGGTAAAAAATCTTAAAAATAAATAAATAAATAAAATTTTAAACTTAAAAAAAAAAAGCGAGGGGCACCTCACCAGCTCAGTCGGTAGAGTGTGCAACTCTGGATCTCAGGGTTGTGGGTTCCAGCCCTTCGTTGGGTGTAGAGATGACTTAAAAATAAAATCTAAAAAAAAAACAATAAAATAGGGGCACCTGGGTGGCTCAGTCGTTAAGCATCTGCCTTCGGCTCAGGTCATGATTCCAGGGTCCTGGGATCGAGCCCCGCATCAGGCTCCCTGCTCGGCAAGAAGCCTGCTTCTCCCTCTCCCCCTCCCCCTGCTTGTGTTCCCTCTCTCACTGTGTCTCTCTCTGTCAAATAAATAAAATCTTTAAAAAAATAAAATAAAATAAAATCTTAAAAAAAACAATAAAATAAAGAACTCTGTTTTAAAAGCTTTCCATATATTAATTCATTTAGCCCTTAAAAAAGAATCTATAAGGGTGCCTGGGTGGCTCAGTCGTTAAGCGTCTGCCTTCAACTCAGGTCATGATCTCAGGGTCCTGGGATCGAGCCCTGCATCGGGCTCTCTGCTCAGCGGGAAGCCTGCTTCTCCCTCTCTCTCTGATCCTCCTCCACTTGTGCTCTGTCTCTCTCCGTCTGTCTCAAATAAATAAATAAAATCTTTAAAAAAAATCTATAAAGAATACTATTGTGATACTGGGCATGTTCTTTCCTAGACACCTGCATGGCTCATACCCTTGCCTCCTTCAGGTTTTTGCCCTAATGACATCTGAAGGGGGTCTTCCTCAACCACCTATTTAAAATTGTACATCTTGTACCTTCCCACTCTCCCTTCTCTGCTTAATTTTTCTCCTTAGCACTTATTGACTTCTAGCCTCCTGTATATATGTTTTTTTGGAGTTGTAATTTATTTCTTGAATATATATATACTGCATATACTTATATACATAATGTGCAAATATATATAATTTACATAATGTTTTTATATTTTATGTATATTATATATGTAAATATACATAATACATATACATATACATAATACATATTTAATGTATTATATATAACATATTATATAACATGCTATAACATAACATGTTATATAATATATAATGATATATGTTGTATTATAAATATATAAGATATACTATAAAATAATATATAATATGTATAATTTACATTATATGTAAATAGACATAATGTACAAATATATATATATTTTTTTACCCTAGGGAAAAGTGCAAAGTTACACATATAGAGACAGACTAAGAACATCAAATGAGAGCATGCAAGTGTATGTTTCGGCTGAGCTGTGTCTTCCAGAGTACCCAGTTTATGTTGGTTCTCAATATTCGTCCTGTTATTGAGAAAGGAAAGATTTGCTTGACAGGTTTTTGGGGTTTTTTTTAATTATTTGAATATAGTAGACACATGCTGTATACTTTACTACGTAAACATTTCCAAGAGGCAATAAATACGGTACTAAAAGCATGAACTTTGGCCACACTGGCCCAGGTTCGATTTCAAGTTCCACGGCTTGCTAGCTGTGTGACCTTGGGCAAGTTGCTTCACCTCTCTGTGCTACAATCTTCTCATCTGGAAAATGGGAAATAACAGTGTACCTCCGGGGCTTTTGAGAGAACTGAATTCACTAGTATTTTAAAGTACGTGGAGCAGTGCATGGCACTAGGTAATTGCTAGGTTGGGTGATTTTTTTTTTTTAAGATTTTATATATATATATTTTAA